ACATTCATTGATTTCAGTTTCACAGTTTGTGCCTTGGTAGCCAGAAACACAGTTACAGCTGTAAGCATTCAGTAAATTAAGACACGTTGCACCATTCAAGCAAGGATTATTTATGCACTCATCAATGTCAATGCCACATGTCACACCTGTCCAGCCAGGTGCACAAATACAAGTGAACATGTTAATCAGGTTGTTACATGTTGCCCCATTGTCGCATGGATTACTGGAACACTCATTTATTTCTACTTCACAGTTTCCTCCAGTGTAACCAGCAGAACAAATACAGGTATAGTGATTCAGTAGATTGTTGCAGACTGCACCATTCAGACAAGGGTTTCCAAAACATTCATCAATATCAAGTTCACAGTTGATCCCAGTCCATCCCAGGACACAGTCACAGGTGTAGAAGTTGACCAAGTTGTTACAGGTTGCACTGTTCAAACATGGATTGCTGAAACACTCGTTAATCTCGAATTCACAATTTCCACCATTATAACCAGGAACACAGGAACAGCTATATGAATTCAATTGGTCATTACACGTGGCACCATTTAAGCATGGGCTGCTGAAACATTCATTGATCTCAATCTCACAGTGGACCCCAGTCCAGCCATCAATACAACTACAGGTGTAACTGTTCACATCATCGTCACATACACCGCCATTAAAACATGGACTGCTGGCACATTCATTTATCTCAGCTTCACAGTTAGCACCAATCCAACCCGGTGCACAATCACACGAATATATGTTTAGCAGGTTGTTACAAGTAGCACCATTCAAGCAAGGATTATTGAAACATTCATCAATGTCTAAATCACAGTTGTATCCAGTCCAACCAGGGATGCATGAACAACTATAGGCATTCAAGAGATTATTGCAAGTTGCTCCATTAAAGCAAGGGCTGCTGACACATTCGTTTATGTCAAATTGACACTGATCACCATTCCATCCAGGTACACAGGTACATGTATAACTGTTAATGAGGTCTAGGCAGGTAGCGCCATTCCGACACGGATTTGTGGCACATTCATTGATATTAATGTTGCAAAGTACGCCTGTCCACCCTGCCACACAGGTACAGGTATACAAGTTGATAAGATTGTTGCATGTAGCACCATTTAGGCAGGGGTTACTGAGACACTCGTTGATTTCATGCTCACAGTCAAATCCATTGTAACCCGGCATACATGTACAACTGTATGCATTCAACAGATTGATGCATGTGGCACCATTATGACAGGGATTATTAGCACATTCATTAATATCCAGCTCACATCTCACACCAGACCACCCAGGAGCACATGTACATGTATAACTATTAATCAGGTTTTCGCATGTGGCACCATTGAAGCATGGATTGCTTAAACATTCATTGATCTCTATATCACAATTGAATCCACTGTAGCCAGCTATGCATGAACAGCTATATGCATTGAGCAAATCATTGCATATTGCTCCATTGAAACAAGGCTCACTGGCACATTCATTGATATCAGTTAAGCATCTGACACCAGTCCACCCAGGCATACAGGTACATGTGTACATATTTATCAGGTCATTGCAGGCAGCACCATTAAAACAGGGATTGCTCAAACATTCATCAATTTCAAGTTCACAATTCAATCCATTGTAACCAGGCATACATGTACATGTGTAAGCATTTAGCAGGTTCACACACGTGGCTCCATTGAGACAAGGGTTGATTAAACATTCATTTATGTCTATATCACATCTGCTGCCAGTCCATCCAGGTGCACAGCTGCAGGTGTATAAGTTGATCAAATTGTTGCATGTGGCCCCATTGAGGCAAGGGCTACTCAGGCACTCATTAATATCAGTCCGGCAGTTTAAT